TTCACTCGTGTAAAGAAGTGCACCCCTCCCAATTCTTCGGAGTGGTGCACGGGCTACCACTTTATCACAATCTTTTAGAAATTGCATTTTGTATCTACTCAGGTTCTTTATCGCTTTATGCTTATGTTTATGTTGGTGGTCTGAAACAATAAGCGGTACGAAGTCAAGAGGGGAGTAAATATTTTTTCATCTGACTGTATGAGGGAATTTTTTTTTTTTGCTACTTCTTATATTATCATATATACTTTCCAAGTTTGTGTTCTCACAGTGTGTTTTTCAGAAATGGAAAAAAAGTAAGCAGGTATTTGTCTGAAAATGCTCAGTGAGGCGGTATAGAAGTTATAAGGTTAATGATGCAGCAGGACAGTCGCCCTTTGTCATTGATCATATTTCTCATTTTATTGTTTCTGTTCTCTTTGTGTTATTTTCTCATGTTTCTTTTCCCTCCATCTGTTCTGTTTTCCACTGGACTTCTCAGACTATTCCCTCACAAGTAAGTTTCTTTACTCCATTTCTTATTTGCTTATTTGCTTCTGTTTGCATCATTCCCATGAGAAATCCCTCATTATTAACAATTCTAATGAAAACACACACTCTTTAACTGTATACTGTTCTCATTCATCCATCTGATGTGCGTATAAAGCCCATTCCTTTACTATCAAATTGATTGAAGATTGTTTTAGGACAGTATGATAGTAGTAGTTATTGAATCTGTTTGGTCTGAGGAGTAGCAGCAGTTTTCATCATCTTAGACTCAGCAGAGACACGACTATTAGAGATGGCATCAGTCACGTAATAATCAATGTGCAATGCCATTTTTTTCTTACCAGTAGTGTAAAAGCTGTCTTTTTGCAAAAAGAAAAAAATAGAAAGTCTGTAAACTGCCATCTTGTTTCTGTTGTAATTCATTACACAAGAGCATCTTTATATGAGCCAAGCGTAACCTCAATCGAATCCAAAATTCTGTAAATATTCTGCCCTGCAAAGGGTATATATACACCTTGGATGTCTCCGCATTTTATGTTACACATATACTGACACTTGATGATTTAAGTGGTATATAAACGATTTAAAGGGGAAATGATTTCAATACAAAAATCAGTGTGGCATGCGTAAATAGTCCTTTTGTTTATCCTAAATAAATTTTACTGGCAGGAATTTTAAACTACGGTAGGGCTCTAACCAGTGTTGGGCAAGTTACTTAAGAACAAAAATAACTAGTAATAATTACTACTTACCTCTTAAAGAAAAGTAAAAAAGTGGCTCGGTTACTGCTCAGTGAAAGTAACTAGTTACTAGCCAAAGTAACTATGCAGTTAGTTTTTACTGTCTAGAGCGTAGGTCTTCAACAGGGGGTCCGTGACCCCTAGGGGGGCCATGGAGGTACTGCATGGGGGTCGCAAAAGTTTTGGTTGATAAATGGAGGCAGAAGATGTCTTTCAGTCATTAATGCACACATTCAGCGACACACAGAAGCTCTTTTAAGCTGGGCACCGTTTTATTCACAACACCTGTCCCACCAACCAGGACTCAG